AAGAGCAGCGAATCACCACAAACTGTCTTCGCGCCAAAACTGATGACCAGGAAGGCTTTGCTGTATGTTAGGTGGGATTGGCCAGGAATCATCCACAATGAGCTGCTTCCCTACGACCAAACTCTTAATTCGCCCAGGTTTGGTCGGCAAGAGGGGTATCGCAAGAAAAATATCGAGCAAAACAGTTCCCACTTCACATCAATAGAGCAATTCAAACTCTTTAAATAAATCCTTGAATTTAATACAAATATAATGGATGAATTTTTACTTGACTTAATATTTATTGAGAGCACCGGAGAGTGGATTCCATGGCCCACATTATCCCTCAAGTTTTGAGCCATCTATAAAGATGGTTAAGGCTATCGAGAGCATTTGAGTTTTCTCATTCGTTCCTGTTTGGGATTTTTGTAGGAAATTTATTGTCGAAGCACATCCTTCGGCACTTCTGCAAGAAATAATATTGTGAGTTGCCCTATACTCTAATTCCTCCATCATCTTAACCGGTCTGTCTGCCGTATTGTGGCTCCAATTAAAATTTAAAATTGGGTTCACCAGTGTTATAAGGGGTGATCTATTTCCATTTTTTTTTCAAAGAAAAAAGAGAAAATTTAAATTTAATAGCGAATTTTTATTATCATTCAAAAGAACATTCTTTGGCATTTAGTTTTTGAGGATTATCTCTTTCAAATGTTGGCCGCACCTACATAAATATCAGATCGTCCATCCGTTGAGTCCAATTTTCGATGACTCGTTCGAGAATTCCGTCTAGTAACTGGCGAATTACATGCGTGATGTTTTTCTGCGGGGCCAAAATCGAAGTGGGACTGCCCGCATAGACTTTGGACTTTACTTTTTTTCACATGAGAAAGTCTAACGGTGTGATATGGCACGATCTTGGTAGCCAATCGACTGGCCCTAAACATGAAATTAATCTGCTCGCCGAAGTTTTCTCTCTACAAATCCATAGATGGATGTGATGTGAGGGAAGTGGCGCCGTTTTGTTGAAACCAAGTGTTGTCGAGGTATCGAGCTTCAATTTCAGGCATCAAATTGTCAGTTATCATGGTGAGGTAACGGGTTAGGGGTTTAAGAATTTACCCGCGGTAAGGCATGTCTGTCGTAGGAGGCGACTAAAATCGAATAGTTCCCGCGACAGTCGGGACGTTATACCGGAACGACCTAGATTTTTTTCCGGCCAAGAACTGTCACTTCCGCAACATTCCCCAAAAAGAACTTTGGGAAATATTTTTGCGGTTACAACAAAAACAACAACAACGGTTACGTTCTCGTCGGTATTATTTTTTTTTAAGAAATATGGGCCCATGATTCCACCGGCCCACAAACTACGCCAAATGACAGCTATTGAATTTTTTCAGATGGATATTCTTCCCAAATGCGGCAACTTTGCTTGTTTACAAACCCATTGAGCCAGAAATGAACCTCATCGCGGAACAAAATTTGGTTCAAAAACATCGGAGCATCTTGGAACTTTTCAAGAGCCTATACAGCGAAGCGATGTCGCTAGCGAAGGTCGAACGGCTTCAGTAAATTGCGCCAAGTCGTTCCATATCATAGTCCGAGTTACTGCGAACGGTGCCCTATCGATTATCGACGGTCTTTGTGTACACTCCCAGCTACGGCCGCTATATTTTCTTCACTACGTGCTGGACGTGGTCTATTCGGTCGAATATTATCCACTACTGAATGCCGGGTCTGGAGATGGATGATGGTGTTGCGAATAGTACGCTCAGTAGGCTGATTATGTTGACCATAAGTTGAGTAAAGCGGCCGAAAAACATGATTTACAGAACGTTTTCGTCGCTCAGCCCTATGTCAAACCGTGATGAAATGTCGAAAAATACTGAACAGCTTGATACGACTCCCGCTTGTTCTGTCAAACGAAGGCTATTAAAAAAAGTGCCTCCACTCGGATCGTCCGTTACGACTTAATTGTGATGAAACTTATAATTCTTGAGTACATCATTTAAATTTGTTGGTAAAAATATATTTTTTCTTGGCGTGTAAAATAACGCGTCCAATAAAATCACTTTCAACCTTGCTTTGTTTTAATAGTTTACTGCTGGTTCAATATACGTACGTATATATGTATGTATCTAATAAGAAAACATTATAACAAAAGCATAACAAAAATAATCGAAGAAAAAATTAATAAAAAAAACGATTGGCTCAAGAAAAAATCAGCATCAAAGGTTTTTATTGCAGAATCTCAAGTATTTATAATGCTAAACGCGCGAAAAGACGTAGAAATGTCAGGTTTTATGCTTGATGTTGTTGTTGTTGTTGTTGTTGTGTATATTTAATAAACACATAAACACATATATTTCCATAAATATGTAAATAAAGCTCAGCACAGGCAGGCAGGCAGCCAGGTAGTGGGTATACCTGTCTGTTCGTTTGTTTTCATACCAGTCAAGTTATGCCAACCACTATTTAACAGCTAAGAACAACAACTCTGGGCAAAAGCAGCGCAAGCAAAATAACTGAATTAATACCTTTTTACCAGCGCACACCACGAAAAAAAGCAAAAAAGCAAAAACAAAAAAAAAATACTAAACTCTGTTGCTGCTTTCGGCACAGCGACTGTAGGCCAACAACGTAATGACGCATGCGCAGCGACGGACGCCAACAGAGGCGTCGCATCGGTATTGCGGCTACCGGTAGCTGCGCTCAAATTCTCAACGCTTTTATTTTTTAATATTTATTTAAAATATTTTTATGAGCTTACGAATTTGTGAAGAGCGCGAGTGAATACTCATTCGCTTGTTATCTTTATATACCTATATATATATATGTATATATTTATACCAGCGGAGGGTTTTCAACAAGGCTGTATTAGGTTTGTTAAAATCACGGTTGTTTTAAAGTATATATATATATATTATGTCATATATATATTAAACCATACACACAGAACATCATTAATATTGATGATACTTCAAAAGAGACACGCTCAATAATTAGAACTTTGTTGCGAAGATCACTGACCTGCCCAGAAGCATTCCTCTTTGTCTTATGAAACCATCCTTTTTGGCAAAATATTAGAAAAATCGATTTTCAAAGATTCTCTTGAGCCCATTCCTTCACCAGCCAAATCATTTGCCAAAGGCAATATTGTAATCACTTGGTGCGACACAACTAAGCTCTTGGAGCTTCAGTCGAGCCACTAACGACGTGTGTGGACTAATAAAAATACAAATCCTCTTCTGTTTGGCCGTAAGGAGCAGCTCGTAGTGGATGATTCCTCGCCAATTCCTCTAAACAAAACGTGCTTGGACGTCAATCCTGGCTTCGACCACGGCCTTTTCTTTTGAGGCTGCTTCAAATGATCCAACTTTTATCATTAGCCACCAGCCGCTTAGAAATTGGTCGATTTTGTGACAATTCACCAGCGATACGCAGATGGAAATTCACTCATGAAGTTTCTACTCGTTAACACGCGCACACCGAGTTTCTTTTTGTTTTAGCCATTTTTGAGTAGTTTCTTGAGCAACTCCTGGGCAGCGTGACAGTGCTCGCTTGACTGTCATTACCAGACTGCCAAAATCGCAACGCTGCGATCGACCGCAAAGCGTGCTGCGCAGGGAAGATACCGGGATTTGAAGAGCGAAGATGTGTAAATACGAAGAACATGACGAGATGGCCAAATACTACGAAAATTTTTTGCGTGTTTCAAATGGTTCAAGATCGGGGTATTTTCATCTAGTAACGAGAATGGGGATCCGGTGACTGATGTTCAGAGTATAATGAATTTATGGTATTAACACTTCTCTTGACTGCTTAGAAGCAGCGAAAACGATGACGATGTATTGAACGTACCATCATCCGACAAGATGAAGTTCAAACAGCGATTGTGCAAAGAGGCGAACAACTGGCGATATGCATGCATCAGCATCTCTGCAGAATAAGATCGGACGAAAACATGCCTGACGATTGGAACCTGGATGTGCTCTGTTCAATCCATGAAAAAAGTCCACCATCACCATAATCACTCTTGGGCACATGAGCTACTTTGGATTATGTACGCAGTTGAAAAGCAAAGTCTTTATGATGCTGAAGCGTCGACGGAAACAACATCCAAGGAGCCGGCTTTACGAGTCTTCGAAAGAAACGCTTTGTAGCAACTATGTATTTTTTGGCGAATTGGAGTCAGGAAATACCGCAATAGATGATCCTCTTCGCTGGACAGATTAGGTGGGGAAGAACCTGGTTTCACTTGGTATCTCCAATTGATGTGGAACGTCAGAAAGCTAAATATCGTAAACCCGTGTTTATTGCTTTAAAGCTAGAGCTCGGAGTATCACGGATGATTTGACATCTCAATCAGCTGAAGGCCGAGCACTCGCAATGGAAATGCTCCAGCATTTTGTTTCCTTTACTGTGTCACGCTCTGCCCTTTACTGACCTAAAACATAAAACACCCTAAGGTAAGATTGTTTTTTAATTACGAAGTGTGTGTTGATCCAAGTCAAATAGCAGATTTTAAGCCTTTCAGATCAATATAAAATAACCCCAGTTATTCTCTATATTCATCATAGAGATCTAACCTTACGTAACCTAAACAATTGAATGCCTTCCAATTCCTCTGCCTTTTAACGTTTGAATGTTTATCGCTCATAGTATTGAAACCTGCTCGCGTTTAGTTCTTCCTTTCATGGCTTCAGTTTGGTTTTCGAAAGCGAGCGTCACTTTGTGCAGCGTCTCGTCTTCTCGCCGCATAGCGAAAGCTTTTTCAGCAGCTTGTTGGCGCTATAGCTTGGACTTTTTGGCGGCAGAGCCCAACTGCGACAGCGTGCACAAAGCATCGCGACTGCAGCGGATCGCATGCGAGCTTCACATTGACGTGTTTTGGCAGCTTGGCAGTTGACTTTGCTTTTGGAGTGTTGGATGGATGGTGTGGTTTGCTTTTTTGCTGGTTTTGGTTTTCTTCTGTTTTTGTTTTCTTTCGGTTTTTTGTTTTACTTTTTGCTGCTGCTTGTTGGCTGCTTTGCTTCTTGGCTGGATTGGCAAGTGGCAAAGCGCCATTTACCTGATCGCAAGCAGTTTTAGTCGCCGACGTGATATTGAATGAACCGTACGCGTGTACGTAGTACTACTATGTACCAGCGAGACCGTTATTTCAAGTAAAATATATTATGTGAAGACGATTTGTGTTGAATTGTGCAGCGTAAATGAAATAAATAAATAAACAAGTAAATAAATACTGTGAATAAAAAAGACAAACTGTGCATGGTTGAGTGCTGAGCAGGTTTAAGAATTAAACGTCTCTTTGTCCCATCGACGACACGCATACATACATACATACATATATACATATGTAAGTGCATAACTACAAAGTGGGGTAGTAAAGTGAGCTGATACCTGAAATTTTATATCGGCAAACTTGAATGTCAAACAGTAACAACTACAACACTTGTTGTAAACATCAAATGAAGCTGCAGCAATGCAACTAGGCGCGTCACACTACCGCCAACATCACCACCAACAACAATAACAACTCGCTTTAAGCATTAATGCTTCCACAACACACTTCCGATCAGCTTCAACCGATACACCGGCTTTCTTTCACAGCCAAAACGGCTGTCGTTTCATGTGGGAACTTCTTCTGCTGCTTGCTGCCTCAGCGTCACTTAAGAAGTGCATATATGTATGCGTGTGTTGGTGTAGTGCATTTTGGAATTCGCATTTCGTGAAAGTCAATAATACTTAGTAAAAATGAGGTGATAGATACAAAAAGGTAGTTAGAGCAAGAGAGAGAGAGAGAGAAAGGACAGAAAGTGGCAAAAAGTGAAGTGAAAAAAGCGAAAAAATCGGTAAACGAATACGAGATGAATTTACAAACAAAAAAGCGTGCATTTTTACGTTAAAAATATTTCTATATACATACACAAGCAAAACTAAATATTTACTTACGTGTATGCGTTCATGCACTTGCACTTAAATACTAATCAACCCAGATAGAGTATCTTTACAGAAGAAAAAGAAAAAGTTGTAAACAAAAACAAAATACAAAATAAATAAAATAGTTGAAAGTGTGACGAGAAAAATATAATCATTAAATACAACAACACAGCAAACGCTTCATAAATAAACAGAGAAATTGGTGGAAACATTTGTTTGTTTAACGAATCCAAAGCATGAAATGGTAAAAGAGCGTAAAATATTGAACAAAAATCAAATAAAAATCAAAAAGTTCTAACAACGCACAGAAAAGCCAGAAACGGAGCAAAAAAGCAAAACATAAAAACAGGAATATATAAAAAATAACAAACCTTTCGAAAGAACCATTTGCTGTTACGCAAACGAAAACGACACACTGAAATTTATGCATCCCACAAGCGATTTCTTATTGCAATATTTAGCTAGCAGAGGTGAGTAAAGTGCATTCTTCGCAAAAAATACCCGATAGGAAAATATTAACTAACCTTCAAGTTAAACAAAACAAATTAATTTTTAACTTTATTTTAAAAATTGTAACTGTCTCTGGATAAATAAATTAAGAAAAAATAAAATGAAATTAAACATATTTAAATATGGTAAAATGAAAAAGATAACATATTTTTTTTTTATGTTCGAAATAAAATTTAATCAATTAAAATGAAATGAAAAAAAAAATAAATTAATAAAAGCCAAAAAATTAAATAAATAAAATAAGAAAATAAAGTGAAATAAAATTACAAAAATAAATAAAATTAATTAATGTAAAATGAAATAATATACAATAAAATAAAAAAAAATTAAGATCAAATAAAAATAAATAAGTAAATAAATAAAATATATAAAAATAAAATAGAATTATTCAAATTTAAACAAATTAAAATAATACAAAATTAAATTCAATAAACTGAACGAAAATCAAATAAAATAATGTAATATGAGGTAGTAATTAAATAATGCAAAATAAAAAAGAATAATGCAAATTAAAACAAAATAAAATAGTATAAAATAAAATAATATAAATCAAAAAAAAAATTATAATATAAAACATAAAATAGGTCAAAACCGAGCAATTAAAAAAAATAAAGTTAGAAAAAATAAAATAATATATATTTAAAAAATAATATGAAATAAAATAATATAAAGTAAAACAAAATCGAATAATATAAAATAAAGTAAAAACAATAAACAAAACTAAGTTACATAAATATAAAAGAATTTAACAAAAAATAAAATAAAATAAAATTAAATAAATATGTGGCAAAAAATAAAATGAGATAAATTAAAATAAAAGAAAAAACTAACATAAGATAAAACGAAATTAAATACATGTCAAGAAAAAATTATATTAAATTAAATTAAACGAATAAACAGCATAAAAAATAACAAAAAAATAAAAATTAAATTAAATAAAGCTCAAAAGTAATTTAAATTAATTTAAATAAATAAATAGCATGTAATAAAATAAAATAAACTAAAAAGTTAAAATAACGAAACTCAAAAATAAATAAAATTAAATTAAATGTAATTAAATAATAAAATAAATATAATAAAAATATAATAAAAATTAAATTAAATAAAAGTCAAAAGTAATTTAAATTAAATAAAATGAATAAATAGCATGAAATAAAATAAAAAAACCTAAATTATTAAAATAACAAACTCAAAAATAATAAAATTAAATTAAATTAATTTAATAAACAGCATAAAATAAAATAAAAAATTAAATTAAATAAAGCTCAAATGTAATTTAAATTAAATTAAATAAATAAATAGCATGAAATAAAATAAAATAAACCAAAATAATGAAAATAACAAGCTCAAAAATAATAAAATTAAATTAAATTAAATTAATTGAATAAACAGCATAGAATAAAAAATAATAAAAATTAAATTAAATAAAGCTCAAAAATAATTTAAATTAAATTAAATAAATAAATAGCATGAAATAAAATCAAATAAACTAAAAGAAAAAATAAAATAAAAAAACTCAAAAATAGATAAACTTAAATTAAATTAAATTAATAACCTGTATAAAATAAAATGAAATACAATATAAAAAAAAAAATAAATTAAATAAAGTTCAAAAATAAGTTAAGTTAAATTAAATAAATAAATAACATGAAAAAAATAAAACGAAATGAAATAAGGTTAAATACACTAAAGAAATTGTTTAAAAAACTCAAAAATTAATAAGATACATTGAAATACAATCAAACAAAACAAACTAAAGTAAAATAAAATTGAAGTGACTAAAATTACACATTATTATAATAAAATGACATAATATAAAACAAAATTAAATAAAATAAAATTAAATAAAATGAAGTTAAATGATATAAAATAAGTTAAAAGAAAAAAAATAAAATAAAATAAGCGCATTTAATTAATTAAAAAAAAATAAATTCAAACTCACTAAATTAACATGAAACAAAATAATTACGATAAAATAAAATTAAACTAAAATAAATTACAATATATAAAATAAAACTAAATAAATTAAAATAAAATGAAACAAAATTATTCATAACGAAAGAAAATTTTAATTGAAGGAAAAAAAAATTTATAAAAGAAAATTAATTTAAATTAAATTAAATGCAATATAAATTTAAAAAAGAAATTTGAATACAACAAAAAAGTACAAATTAAATAAGATAATATAAAATATAGTAAAGAAAATATAATAAAATAAAAAAATTAATTTAAATTGAATACATTAGTTGTAATTCTTCTTAATATTACAGAACTAAAATTGCGCCACTCATTTGCAATTATTATTTCAGTGCAAAAAATATGTATTTTATGACATATTTTTAATTGTGATAAACGATCTTAATTTTATAAAGACAAATTGTACCAATTCCCATACAGTCCGTTGTGTTATAAACACTTACAAACACGCACACCTGCAGACGTTTCAGATTTAATTGACAAATGACTTTGCCAAATGGCTTTATGCACTTTTTGTTTACATTTATTATGTACAAAATGTAATTAGTTCTCTAAAAATGTTGGCTTTATTAGACAGGAAATTACAGTTTTAATATTTCGAAACTCGAAACGAAGGAAATAGAAAATTTATCCTGATACTTAGTACATAATATGTACATATGTTTGGTGCTTATGTAAGTATGTATTTCCAGTAGTGTTTAGAAATTATAATTAACCAATTGTTATTATTGCTAATGAAACAAAATTGATTACCGTTTAATTGAAAAAAAAACGGAAAGAGGCTTTGTGTTTGGTTACAAAAGCTAGATCGTGAGAGTTCTGGCGTTGTGAAGCCTGACCTGAAGCACAAATGTGCGACGAAGCTTTTCAGCAATAAAACGAAGGTAGCCCATAGAGAGGAGTCCCACGGCTAATAAAGAATGTGCAGAAGAATACCTTTTTAATAAGATTCTATTAATCCTAAACGAACTTCATCCTCAAAACGATAGTTAAGAAGCTCAATACTTTTTCTCGTCGTCATTTAAAATTTAATAGAAGGACAGAATATTTCCTTGATCTCTACAAGATGTGTTCCTGCGAACGGCAGAATGAACATTGCAGTGCTTTCTATCACGCGGGGAGTCATCGGATCGTATCCACCTCTCAGCTGAAAATGTATTTCTGGCATTCAATAAAAACTCCTCATTAAAATGCACTAGCCATTCGGAAGCGAGTTTGAATAACTGTAGCTTTGTTTATTGGAAAGCAACGTGAGACGTACAACACAAAGTTGAGGAGGAGTTCGGTCGAAAAACGTTTCCCCGGTCCGTTCTTTTTTGGAGAGGTTATACCAAAAATGCTAAAATCTTTAGGGGCTTCGCAGTTTAACGAAAGGTAGAAGTTTCACAACATTGGACTAGCTCTTAAACTTCTCTAAACGACGACTACACGACTACTATACCTCAACTGGTACTACAAAAGCCCAACCAGTACAAGCCAGTGTACCTTAGCTAACATACAATTCTCTCAAGTCTTAGTCAACAACTCAAATGATCTTCTTTAGATAATAGGAAGAACACTTCGAATTCCACTTAGCAAGATAAAAATGATGTGCACCTCGTTGAGTAAGGCCTTTGCTCGTTAAGAGAACAATTGCTTAAACAGTTCAGTAGCACTCGTTAGTAAGAGCGATTCTGAATTCAGTTTCTTGGCGATGGACTTTAGTATCTCACACAATACAATAAGACTTTATAAGCAAAATATTGAGGAGACTTATCCCACGGTAAACGGGGCAAACAGCGAAACTAATGCTTGCATCTTGTTCTTTTTTCGCTGCCGTATTTAAAGAGCTCGCCCGGCAATTCATCGGTCCCTGGCGCTTGGTTATTTTTGAACCAGGCAAATGCTATTCGAACAACTCTATAGTTGAACATCTTTTCTATCGACAACGATTGGAGACGAGCTTGCAATATCATTGTGTTTCATTTTCACTGCCATTTGACAGGCGGGAGAACAGATCCCTCTATAAATTCAGTAACCTCGAGGCATCAGTCATTATATCACCTCTTTGGGTTCTACAAGAGTTAAAATTTTCGAACAATGCCCTTGTCGCCCAATTGCTTCAACTCTTCATACTCACAAATCTTGTCCTCTTTTCCTTTTATGTCTGTACATAGGTCTGGCATCTTTCTTTAATTCTTGGTATCTATCCCACCGTGCACGTGTTATGGTCGAGTGCAGCGTAGCTAGGTAGGCAGACTACCAAGTGTTTTTTCCTTTCCTGAAAACTAATAGTTTTGTTTGTAGCTGTACGTAGGGAGTTTGAGTTGTCGTTCCACAGCTCTCTTATATCGAGTTGCTGATGAGTGCTCTCAGAGTGCAGAAAACCGCACGGATTTCTGTTGTGATTACAGCTTTTCGACGTTGAACCTTCCTTGTGTTTGTTGATGGGACATTCTTTGCAACGCAGATACGTACCGTTGTTGCTACGAGGTAGTGTTTGGATTGGGTTCGGTTGTGTCGGTTTATTGTGTCACAATATGATCGATCTGGTGATGAGTTTTTCAATCAGAGGACAGTCAAGTAGCTTGATGTATTTTACGGTGCTGGAATCTAGTACGACAGACAATCATATTACGGACCCCAGCGAAGTTGAACATCCTCAACTCATTTTACATATACATATGTGCATACATCCATTAGATGAATAATCCAAATAGGTGGAAGATCATGAATGAATAGTAAAACCTATATGCATTTATGTATTTATGAAAAAAAAAAAACATAATAACTCAGTTGCAGGTGTCTTTAGCACACCAAAGTTATAAAATAAACTTGCCATAATTATTTAATGACCAGTTTCAATCGTCCAGTATGCTAAACTACGTATGTAAGGACGTCCGGCGGACAGCCTTGTCGTGGCGTGATTAACTTAAAATTTTTTTTTTTGTTTTTTACTTAAGTTTTATTTCTGCTTTTTATTCTTCTTTTTAATTCGCTGGAA